TAGCAGAAGTGACAGTGGGGCCGAGGCTGCTCGGGCTTTGAGGTTAAACACAAGTGACATAAGCTGCACCTGAACCCAATCACTCCCCGGGCTCGGAGAAGATTCACACGCGAGGACTGAATTTGTCACAAATGGGTTGGTTTCCGATCCTCCCGTAGCCAACTTGCTTTATTCTGACCCCCATTTAACAAATCAACTTAATGGGCACTGGGAGTGCTATAAAACTTAACAATGGAGTGATTTTAACTTTTAAAATATAGTTATGAAGCAGAATGTTGGAGAGCTCCTTCAATACTGGAAATCAAATTAAATCTAGACATTTTTTAACAGTCTTGACAGATATAATCCTAGTTACCATGTAAATTTATGGTAAGCTGCTGTGATATTAGCCACAGGTGCTACTTTTAATATATGGCCCGCATCTGGCTGGGAATAAAATTTCTCAGAGGACTGAAAATGACCTCACTATCAGACAATGGAGAAGAAAAAAAACCACAAGACCACTGTGGCATATAAAAAGCTGGAGATGTGGTCCACAACCGAATATTTACCATAAAATTCATTTTAACTCTGCAGATTGTAGGTTAAAGGATATTATGTTTTCAATACATGAAAGGCGTGGACGTATTTCAGCCAAACAGCCAAAAGATTAAGTACAAAAAAGCCGCAATGAAATACACTGCCTGTATATATAAAAACAAATTTCCCAACCTTTGATCAATGTAGAAAACAAAGCAATGTGTTGGGAGTAGAAAAAGGAAGGATTGACAGATTGTATTACACTGGCACCAAGTACTGCCATCGAAAGAAATCAAGAGCATTCATTGCATATCCTACCAAATTCATCTGGATGTGTAATTGGGATCATACAACAAAGATGTCAATTTAAAGGGGCAAATCTGAGCATGTCTCCCTACAGCCAAAGGAAAATAACTGGCATCACAAGGAGGAGGGAGGAAAAAAGGCATCTACCGTAACATGCTCTGTCTGACTTTTTTCTTCTGGATTCCAAGCAAAAGAGATAGTAAATCTGGAAGGGAAATACAAAGTGAGAATAATAATTTATTTAATAGTTCTAGGTTTTTTGAGCATCTTTAAATAAGATGCCAAGACTCCACAACTGAACTGAAACACATGTGCTTCTACTCTCGCTGCACACTGTTTCCATACCATCCCCTCCACTTAGGTTCATCTTCCACCTCCATCCTCTAGCCCCAAAACACAAAATGTATTTAATAGCTTTAAAACTCTTGGAGCGTTTGATTTCCTGTCATTTTAGAAAATGACATTAGAGGTCTCATGGAGACTTCCTACATGATCTTATTTTTAAAAAAAACCAAAAAAAACCAAACTTAATTAAAAACTTACCCTATAAAAGAAAGCAGCTGTAAAGGCTGAACCTGACCATCAGCAAAGTTGCCCACCTTTGTAATTTCCTAACTGCATTTGCTGCCTTGGTGTGATTACCTACGGAAACGCAATCACACAGGCAGTTGCCCCTTAAACCCCCCGGTCAAATCCAACCAACTTTGACAAGAGACATGGAAGTCTCAGAGCTAAGATGTTCCAGCAAATTTGGTGGAAGTGAGCAGCTGGATACAGGAACCAAAGGGAGCACTGGGCACCCAGCACTCACAGCCCTTCACAGCCTGCCCAGCCTGGGACTGGGCTCGGATGGATCTGGGAGAAATTCACATTTTTAAGCCAGGGCTGTCCCCTTTGCTGGATCACTGCTCCCAAGGTGAACTGACCTGGAATGCTGGGAGAAGTTACCGGCACGGTCTGGAGGTGCAAATTAACTTTCTATCCCAATTCCAAATTTTGCTTGAGCAGACTGGAAGCAGAGAGTTTGCTCCACTGGAAGAAAAACATTTTGTTTCAGTAGCACAAAGACATGGATGAAAAGAGCGTCCCTTCATGACACTATACCACGGTCTGAAAGCCTTGCTCACTGCTTTTCTCTGCCCTGCAGCCTGGGAAAGAGGCCCCAGAGAAGCTCTCTGACGTGGCTGCGAGGTTTATTGAGGCTCACCAGCACCCAGATGCGTGGTAGGGATTAGGACTCACCATGGAGTGCTCCGAGCCCACCCGCTCTCCAAGACCCCACTCACAGCCAGAGGTTCCTGCCCAGCACAAGTTCCTTGGGAAAAGAGTCTCAACACGGGGTCTCTTGAGTGAGTGCACAAGAGTGAGAGCCCTGGAGGTGAAAGACTCCAGCTTTAAATCCTTGCTGCCCACCTGCTGCTCCACAGTGGCAATAACTCACAGGAACTGCAGGGCTTAAGGAGGAACGGGCGCAGTGGTGCCATCAGCACAGCTCTTCTGGACAAGGCTCTCCTCCACAGCTGAGCTGTGTTTGTTTCCCCACACACACACTGCTGTATTCTATATTTTATATGAGATTCAGAACACCCACCCACCAGGAGCCTGCCTCACACTAAAGGCAACGGGAGCATCCAGCACCAACATCCTCCAGTCCACCAGGACCTGCAGCAACACAACCAACACAGGGCTTCCAGCACGGCCCCCGGACTGGGCTCCAGCTTGTTTCAGAGAATTTCACCACCAAAGCCCACTTTCATGAAAATGTATCTTCAGACTAACAAACAGCACCAGAGCTTTCAAGTTGTGGGTTACAAACTAATTCCCTGAGCCAGAAGTGTCATTAGCTTGTCAGCCTCACAAAGGCAGCTCGCTGCTGATCGCTTTTAACCAAGTTAATCTCAGCCTGAAAGCTTCAGGAATCTAAATAACTCTTGTTGCACAGAAGTTTCATTTCATTCTCATGCTGAAAATAACATACATAAACCAAGCTCATGTCTACACATTTGCACGACTTTATAATAAAAAGTTGTGTTTATATTCTTAACATCTGTTGACATACACAGACTTTGTAAACCTGGCATAGATTTTGAAGCCACAGAATTTTCCATGCATCATGAACACTATCTGCAAGAAGCAATAAAAAAATAAAAAAAGCAATGAAGACATTAATCATACCAATATCATCTGCAAAACATAAATTTGAAATACCTTTCATGTCAGCTCAACCACTTTCTACTTTTTTTTGTCGGTTTTTTTGGGGTGATTTTTTTTTCCCGCACCTGATTTTACTCCATCTGCAAAAGGGCAGCAGGAAAGAACCAAGAATGAAATGACTGTTCCAATATCTCCCAAACAATTAAAGTGGCAATTTTTTAAAGTACCTTTTGTAAGACAACATGTACTAGAAGCATAAATGCATAGTTCATCATTTATCAATAAGCACATTTAAATAAACTCAACTTCCTATACTGATATGTGCTCCATCAATCTTCACATTAGAAAGACACATGGAAATGTACCCATGTTGTAAGACAAATCTACACCATCAAGAAAAAATACAGCTTTGTGAATTTTTGTCAAAGCAATGGGTTTTCCAGGTACCTGCTGGTGCACACAGTGATCTGTCTCCTGACCTGCCTGTTGGCAGAGACTGCCCAAGTCCATCTGATCAAACTGACCCATTTATTTACAGTGGGTAAAACTGCTTTTAAATTAACTTTGGGGAAAACAAAAGTCATTTGTAGTCGTGCTGAACCAATAACCCAGCAGAGAAGCTCTTTCATGAATATTCAAAGCACAAAGGCCGGAAATCTCAACTCTTCCAAGGGTCACTTCTATCTCACCATGTCAAAACTGAAGGTTGCTCGAGCCCTGAGCTGCCTGCACATCTCACCAAGGCTTCATGTGAGCTCCCTCTCATGGGCTTCTCCCTTTCACTGCCCTCTGCATGATCTGACATGGTTCTGTTTGCTCTGTAGTAACCTTCAGGTCTGAAGTGCAATCCAGAAAAAAATGTACTCCCTGGACCAGCCCTGTCCTGCTCTTGAGCTGGATCTTCCTGCAGTGGTTTTCTCTCTTGCTTTCACCCAGCTCAGAGGGGCTGGGATCACCTCACTCACCTTCTCTCTGTTGCCTGGGCTTTACTAACCCCACAACTGCTGACTGAAACAGTGAAAAAAAGAGCCACAGTTACAAATTGTTGTTTATCCAGCTCACTGTGGTTTCCTAAAACATCCTGGTCTGGGCTTAGGCACAGCCATGTAAATAAACAGCTCAGAGCACAGCTCCTGGTCCCCACACACACCAACAAACCCTTGGCATCCCCAGGCTGGAGCTCACCATGTCCCTCCACAGCAAGGGAGAGAACCGGCTCAGGGAGAGCCATCATCCCAACAAACCCCTGGGAATCCTCTCCCTCCCCAGAAAGCACTCACCCCTCCCTCAGAAATAAAACAGAAGGGAAATGCACGCTCTGGGAACTTGACTTTTTCTAAGCAATGTCATGATTCCTCAGGAGGGAATTTACAGGGGAATGGGGCTGAACGCACATCTCAAGGCAAATTCAGTGTTTCTGAAGCAAGTTTGTAACTGATGGTCCAGCACGAGTTCTTGTGGGTTTGAGATGTGGCTCAGGATCCTGCCTCCAAACAAAAACCAGCAGTTTGTGTGCCAAAGACACTGCGAGATCGTCTTTTACAACTCATTCAAGGATGTACCAGAACTCTGTCTTCCTGCTCAGAAGGTGAAACATGTCCCATCTTCCCCACCTTATTTGTTAAAGTTTCTGTTCTTGTATTTACCCATTTTTCTCAAGTTTATCCCTGACAAAAATGAACCCCACTGTCCATCAGTTATGTATTTCCAGCATTCATTTACGCACGCTGGCAATGAAAACAACAAAAAAATGGAGATCAAATACTATTTGTCTAATTCCACAGTACCAACCTTGGCCCTAATATTATAATCATCTACTTATCAACTACGAAATGGAATTAATTTACTCCACCTAATGAGATCAGAATCAGAGAGGAATTCGTCAAGGCAAAGCCAAGAGGATTTGGCCTCACAAGGATACTCCCAAATTTCTGAATACAAATATTTTCCCATCAGGATTGTATGGAAATTAAAGCAATTACATTTCCTTTATATGAAAAGTGGTGTATAACAGTAATTACCTGATTAAAATTTTTGAAATTGAACTCCTTGTAGATGGCATCTCTTTCACCCAACTCAGACCAGCCTGAAGCTTTGAGATCCAGTAAAACTTGGTTCCTCTCCTCCGTTGTCAACCAGTGAGACTGGGAGGACTATTGAGGGAAACAAAGAAAGGCACGGCAGGAGTGAGGCTGAGGTTCTCTGCTGTACAACAATAAGAAAACCACACGAAGAAATTGTGGTTATGTGCTGTGCAAAGGTAAGGATGTGGAATATTCACGGTACAGTTCCTTACTGTTTATAATTTCACAGTCCAGTTATACCTAAAACAGCCAAACCCCATCATCTTTCTTTATGCAGATAAATCTGGCTAAATGCTTTTGTACAAAACTAAGGAAAAGCAACAGGCTTTTCCCCAGGAATGAATATGGACACCAGCAAACCTGCACCCTTGGTCATCTGGATTATTCAGATCCTGTAACACCTCAAATAACTTTCAGGTATTCCACTCTGTCATATAAGCAAAGGATTATTTACATTATTTGCTAAAGGTACAATTATAAGGCTAAAAGAGATATCAGGAAATATCTATTTCAAAAGAGACAAGCAAAACAGGAGATTGTATTCTACCCAGCTTGTAGTTCACTATTTTGAGAAAGGAGGAATGGATTTTAAGACAGCACACGCTGTGGAGTTCTACAAGAAACAAAGAGCTTTTTGACTGCATGAAAAGAAAAAGAATGGCAATACAGAGACAATTACAAGAAGTTTGAAGTTACTGCTATAAGCACTAGATTCTGCAAAGCACTGATGCTTAAATATGGTTTATTTGAAGTGACCTGTCCTGCCGATGCCACTGGGAGCACAGATGCGACAGACTAACACTTGAATATCTGAATCAGGGGCTGATACAGGCCAGAGCCAGACACAGAGGAACGTTCAGTGGGGCCTTTGGAAGAGGTTTGACACTTCTCCTAAAAGAAGATACTAAGGACAATAGATCCTGACAGAGGGGTCTCAGACTCACACGACAAAGGCATTGCTTTGGTGGGAAGAACCTTTCAGCCAGTACAGTTGAATTCAGATTGCTTTAGTCTTTACTTTAGCAGCTGGCACAGCTTTCTGAGAACCTGCAGAAAGGCAGTTTTGCTCCAGAACTTCTCTCAGACATGGGAGGCCAGTGAGGACCCACTGCCAGCTCAGCAGCTCAGAATTTTCCACCTTTGCCAGTCGCTGCTCCAGCGGGAGCCCCGATGCCACCAGATGGGGCTGTGAGTCTGAGCAGAGCAGGAATTAACGCAATTAATGTGACCTGAGCAAGGCTTTACGATGCAGGAGGGCCAAGGAGCAACATTTTCATCAATAATATGGGATAAAAACCCCAAAACAGTGTAAATCAATCTAACAGCACCACTGCTGCTGCTTGTGTTCAGTGGGACACATCCAGAGATGTAACCAAGGGATGGGTTTTACAGGTCCCAAACTGACCTCAAACTGACTTTGCACTTCAAACACAACTTTGGGCTTGCAAGAACACAAATTTCAGATTTGTCATTGCTATAACCACAGTCATAGGCATGAATTTCTTACGTTCCTCTTTTTTTCAAGCCTATACAACAATCGCCCCAGTTCAAGGTTGTCTCAAAATGAACTATTTTCTCTGGTGCAGGATGAAGTCAGTCTGCTAATTTACAAAAAACCATGGGGGTGGGTGGGTTTTTTTGAGATAGCAAAGTCCAGGATTGCGACCAGGAGGCAGCACAAAGTCCACTCCTCCTGCTGGCACAGAGATGTCCTGTCAGCTCTGGGGACACTGTGGTGCCTTCCCGACACCTCACCTGACACACGGGCATCGACAAGACAGTGCTGTGACCTGACATTTGATCAGGCAGTTTTAATAGGAATATGGAGACTTGGTTTGATGCAGACGTTTTGCTTTGGAATGGGTTGTGGAGGCCACGTCCTGATGCATCATGATATTCGGAAATGTAGCAGAAAGCAGCAGGAGTTCGCTTGAAGAAGGAAGAACACAAGGTGGGAGATTCAAATTGCATTTCTGCAGTCACCACCTCCCAGCAGCACGTCATGGGCACAGCCAGAGCCCCCAGAGAGGCAGGAACAGGCATCGCATGGGTTTGAACCTGTAATTGGTACTGTTCATTTGGAGGAAGCTTGGGGAAATGGTTCATTAATTACATAAAAAAATTAGTACTAAACATCTCATGCCTGAGGGCCGAGGGCTGAACCCTGTGCGTGCCACTCGTTATCAGCTTCGTGTAAAACAAAACAATCAATCATGAAGTGGGATGGTGGCAGGACACAGGGAGAATCACAGAATGGTCTGGGTTGGAAGGGATCTTGAAGATCACCTTGTTCTGACCCCCCCTGCCATGGGCAGGGACACCTTCCACTAGCCCAGGTTGCTCCAAGCCCCGTCCAGCCTGGCCTTGGACACTTCCAGGGACGGGGCAGCCACAGCTTTTCTGGGCAACCTGTGCCAGGGCCTCCCCACGCTGGCAGGGAAGGATTTCTCCCCAGTATCCCCCCTAACCCTGCCCTGGGTGAGTTTCAAGCGGTTCCCCCTTGTCCTGTCCCTGTACGAGGCCCCTCCCCACTCAGGCACTGAGCGGTGGCACCGAGGTGTCCCCGCAGCCCCCCGTGCTCCAGGCACACCATCCCGCCCATCCCGCCCATCCCGCCCATCCCACCTCCCGCGGCTCCCGCAGTGCCGGGGGAAGGCGGGCGGGCTGCCCCGAGCCCCTGCGGGTCCCCCGCGCTCCGCCGAGCCCCCTGCCCGGCCCTGCCCTGCCCTCAGCCCCTCACCATGGCCCGCCGCGCTCCCAGCAGCGCCCGCCGCAGCCCGGCCCCGCCGCCCGGCATGGCCCCGGCACCGCCCCCGCCGGAGCCGCCCCGGAACCGGGCTGGGAGGAGGGAACGGGGAGCGGGGAGAAGGGAGCTGGGAACGGGGAGCAGGGAGCTGGGAACGGGGAGCAGGGAACGGGGAGCTGGGAACAGGGAGCGGGGAGCTGGGAACGGGGAGCAGGGAGCTGGGAACGGGGAGCAGGGAGCTGGGAACAGGGAGCTGGGAACGGGGAGCAGGGAGCTGGGAACGGGGAGCAGGGAGCTGGGAACAGGGAGCTGGGAACGGGGAGCAGGGAGCTGGGAACGGGGAGAAGGGAGCTGGGAACGGGGAGCAGGGAGCTGGGAACGGGGAGCAGGGAACGGGGAGCAGGGAGCTGAGAACGGGGAGCAGGGAACTGGGAACGGGGAGCTGGGAACGGGGAGCAGGGAGCTGGGAACGGGGAGCAGGGAGCTGGGAACGGGGAGCAGGGAGCTGGGAACGGGGAGCAGGGAGCTGCCTCCGCCGCCGCGCCTCCCGCTTGAACGAGGGGAGGAGGCTCGAGGAGCTCCCCATGGCTCTGTAAGACTCCCTGCCAGGAGGGTGCAGGGAGGTGGGACGGGGCTGTGCTGCCGTGAGAGCACCAGAGGAAATGGCCTCAAGCTGAGACAGGGAGGTTCAGATTTAATATTAGAAAGTTTTCCCTGTTGGGGTGGTCAGACATTGAAGGGCGGCCCAGGAGGCGGTGGGGTCACCATCCCCTGGAGGTGTTTGAGATGTGGCGTTGGGTGATGTGGTTCAGTGGTGTAGGGGTGACAGTGGCGGTGCCGGGTGGACGGTTGGACTGGACGATCTAAAGGTCTCTTCCAACCTCTGTGATTCCATTATTCCATGACACGTACCCGGGAGGAGAACGGGAGGCATCCGTGGGTGGATCCTGCCAGGTTTCATTTCCATCCCATGGGGCTGCACTGAAACAGCCCCGTTCCATTTGTAAACACATCCCTGTTTCTTCAGCAGTGCGGAGATGAGCACCAGGGACAATCCAGCCCTGGGTCTCTCAAATGAACCAGATGGCAGAGGCAAGAACACTCATTCAAAATCTTGGATCTTTATTAATAACATCCATCGTAGCTTTATCTTCGGTCATACCGACGTTTTACCAGTGCAGTTTCCTTTTTGGACACAGAAATACAGGACCTCCACTTTCCAAAGGAAAAGACAGAGCCAGCAGAGAAATACTTGAAGAGTTAGGTTGCAGAGATACAACTCTTTGTGAAGCAATAAGTCTTTGTTTTGCCTTAGCTTAGTTTGCTCTCTAAATCTTCCTATCAGGGTACTCTGGCAAGCCTCCACTGTGGTAGATGCTATGCAATCAAATAATCCAAATGCCACACAACATACCAGTCCATACCTTATCCAAAGTCTTCCATACTAATTATAACTAAAAAAATATCAATTCTTTATGTAGCCTCAGCTGGAGACTGTGGAACCAGCAAACATGGTAGTAGAAATTTAAATAAACATCAGGACTGGTCTTGCTAATTTAGGCAGGTGAGCCATAGTTCAGAAATCGCATGTTTTAAGTCCTATAAGAAAGTGACTTAAAAGGTTTCACTAAAAACCTCATTTATTTTTTTTTAAAAAGGACAATTAATACAATTTCATTCTCCAGGAATGTGGTAAATAAGCTGTATAGACACACACAAAAATAGTGAGGTCAGCTTGGGAAGTTATTCTAAATCTCATCAAGAACTGCCACTGAGTCAAAACTCAGGGCAGAGTGAAGGAGAAAAGCAGCACCATCCCAGTGCCAGAGGTGGGAACAGTCAGCCACGGGAATGAAACAGCTTTGGAACTGTTACTGCTGGCAGACAATGGAACAGCTCATCTGAAGTTCACTGTCTTGTAAAACATCATTTATCTCCCTTCACCAGTGTTTTCCTTCCAGTGCCATGTACAGACAGACCAGGGAGCTCTAAAAATCTTCCTTGGTCTACAAGGGAGAGCTTGTAGATCAGGGAGCTCTTCAGAAGAGCAAAGTAGAACTGTATCACTAATTACACTGGAGCCCACGAGAAAGAGGCCAATCAGAGCAGCTTAATAAATACTTTAGTTCGTGTTTCTTCGTATCTGTTTTCTTACCACCGTAGTCGCCACGAATGTGCTTTTTACAGATTCAGTAGTGGATAAATAAAGCCGATTTTTAGCCGTTATTATAAATTACAACCGACAAATTCAACAGTTCGTTCTTAGGAGCTTCTAGGCCACAGAAATTCCCGCTTTACCAATAAGTGGGATTTCTTGTCCCCGTTTCAGCATCTGAGGTTATTCCTGGTGTTCGTGCTCTTGTCCCGGGATGAGCCAGCGGATGCTCTCGGTCCGAAGGGTCGCGTAGAGGACAAAGCTGGCCAGGAAGAGCACGGAGAACAGGAGCAGCCAGTCTATGCCCTTCGTCAGGACGCTGGGCAGGGGCCCTTCCCAGTCCTCCTTTGTCACAGCCACGTCACTTTTAGCTTCTATCCCTAAAAAACAAATCACCTGAGCAACGTCATAATCCTCAAATACAGAGAGGCTGGTTCTACCTGGAGCTTTGTTTCAGTTCTCAGACTAAGGCTTATGCACAGGTAGACTTAAAATTTTGGTGAGATGGCCCTTGTGTGTTAACATATATCTATCAAAGGATTTACTTACATAAAAACATTGATTCTTATGTGTATTTTCATAGCAGGACAGGGCTCGTTCTGTCCTCCCACAGCACAGACTTGGGTAAGTTTGTAGGGGTTTTTCAGTGCACGGAAATTTAATTTAGAGTGTTTTTTCAGGAATTTTATTTTTGTGCATTTCTGGAAATGTAGACCCACACAGCAGTTCAGTGTAGATTAGAAGAGAACTAGCTGGCTGGCAAAGAGAATTAAATTTATTTCACTTTCAATTAAATCTTTGGGCAGGAAGATGTGCTCCAACCTTCTACCATCCACTCTAGCTAAACCCCACTGTTCCCCCTGCTCTATGACTGCAGCCCAAGGAACTGATTTTCTACTCTCAGCCCACACAGAAATCCAGCTCATGGCAGCAACTGATTATATAAACCTCTGCTGGGTCCTCTCAGGGTATTCATGAAGTTCATTTTAAGGAACAAACACAGGGAGAGGAAATTTTGGAGTTAAAAGCCAGCCTGTTCTTCCCACTGACACATCAGGGCTGATTGACACACCTGTTTGGTTAAAGATGAAGTCTTTCAGGGTTTCCAGCGTTCTGTCTGTATGATTAAATCTAGCCATGGGTTTAGCACCTTGGAAAAGGAGGATATTTGGTACAGCCACAGTTCCAAATCTAGTTGATAAACTGGTGGACATAAGGCAAACACAAAGCAGGAAAGAAATTAAATCTACTGAAGGAAGAAATAAAGACAGTCATGTTACAGGAATTGTCAGTCTCACTAAATTAAATTGTCATCTTATACGGAAAAAAGAGCACTGCTATTTTTAAAACTCAAATTTAACAGAACTAAACTGCCGATGGAGCACAGGGAGTGAGAGTTACCTGCTGTGCTGGGACGCATCCAGTGCCAGGAAGCGAAGGGTTGGAAATGCTCGGGGTAAAGAGTTAAAATGAGGTGCCAGGCTGGCAGAAAAGCGGCACCACGGAGTGTAGAACAGGACCAAAGTGCAGTCACTGCTGTTTGGGTTTAGGAACTCCATCAGGTCCTTGGAGAAAGAACAAGAAGAACAAGCACGGACAACTACATATTTCACAGAGTTAAATTCTACGTAGGGATGCACCGCTCAGTTAATTAAATACTGGGCAATATTACCAAGTTAACTGCACCTGTGCTTAATCTTTTTACAACAGGTAGAGGATTGCATTTAACCATTTTCAAAGGTTGATTTAAAAGTTAATAATTAAAAAATATACACAGGCATAGCCATTACAAGAAACAAGCTGGCAGTAGGTGCCATTAACGATTTCAGAGAGAAGCACCAGTGCACGGAGCAGCAAAGCTGGCAGTTCCCTGCAGGCACAGAGATGACAGACACAGACACATGGAGTGCGCTGTATTTCCATTTTTTTCCAATCAGAATGACCCGAAAGGCCTCCTTGCCCGGATATATCTTCGGTAGCACAGAGGATGTTACACAATAACATTCACTAAGTGAAGCACTGAGAGCACCACACCGACACCTTCCCCCCCTCTGGCGTTCACCCCAACCCCGGGTACCTGCGACACGTTCAGGATCTGCAGCGTGAAGCGCTCGATGCCCGTGGTGTTCCTCTCCTCGCAGTTCACCTTGGGGGCTTTGGCGCTGTCGGTGCCGTTCGGCTCCTCGGGCAGGACGGGCTCCAGCACGGGCTGCTCGCGGGGCGGGCCCGGGGGTGCTGCGGGGCCGCTCCCGGTGGGGCCGCACGTCCCGGCCCCGGCCGTCCCTTCGCAGGGGCCGCCGCTCGGCTCGGCGGGCACTGCCGAGAGCAGCACGGGCGGCTCGGCCGGGGCGCCGCTGCCCAGCATCGCGTCCGCCATCTCGGCCGTGCGGTACCGAACGGGCTCGGGGCCGCCCGCGCCGCGCTCCGCCCCCCCTGCGGGACCCAGGCGGGGAGGAAAGGACGTGTCAGTGCCCCGCACCTCCCGCGCCGGCACCGCGCACCCAGAGCCCCCCGGTCTCACCTGCGGGAAAGACCCTACCGAACCAGGACAGCGCCAGCAGCGCCAGCCGCCACATCCTCACCCTCGGCCCCGGCCACCGCGGCCGCGTCTCCCCGGACAACGATCGCTTCCGCCGGATCCCCGGGACACTTCCAGTTCCGCCGGGGTTGGATTTCCGTGGGAAGGGCGCTCGGGGCGCGGCCGCGGCGGGACAGGGCCGGGGCAGGGCCGGGACAGCCGCGCTCGGCAGGGTCGGGCAGAGCCCTGCGCGGGCCGGGCCCTGCGGGAGCGCGGTGAGGGCTCGGCCCGGCCCTGCCCGCGGTAGACACGGATCGTGTGGATTTAACCGAGTTTTCTCGCGGTTCCGCTGAACCCTGAGTTGGGATTGTTCAGCCT